GTGTGTGTGTGTGTGTGTGAGAGAGAGAGAGAGAGAGAGAGAGAGAGAGAGAGAGAGAGTGTGTGTGTGTGTGTGTGTGTGTGTGTGTGTGTGTGTGTGTGTGTGTGTGTGTGTGTGTGTGTGTGTGTGTGTGTACAGTCAAACCAAAATCTAAATTTATTCAGAAACCTTCAACATTTCTCAAATGATATCACAGTTTATTCACTATAGTTTAGAAAATGGTAATAAAATATGACAAGAGCTCGGAGTTAAACTGTGTCAGAACAAATTCATCTTGATAATCTCAGATAACTTTGATAGAAAGGTATGTAATGAATTGGGTTGAATAGCTGTCAGCTGTTAAATTTAAGAACACAATTAGATAAAACCAATTCAGCTCAATCAATTACCAAGCAGTGCTTCATTGTGTTCAGTCTGTAATTTTTGGTCCCAAATGTTTATCAGTTTTACTGGTAGTCCACTGTATGAAGAATTTTTGGGTGTAATATGTCACAGTTTACTTTATTTTGCTCTCCTCACTTACATTTATGAACCATAGTGTCCTGCACCCACTAGTAAAAAAATATCAAAAAATGATATCTGGTCTCTGAATCATTTTTGGTTTGACTGTATGTGTGTGTGTGTGTATATATATAAATCTAAATATATATCTAAAATGTAAAGTAAAATGAAAACAGAAAACAAATATTACATATCAACAAAAATGATAATAGTAATAATATATTAATTATATTAAAATAACTAAAATAAAAATGTTTTGAAACCACAACCTACTTTGCTCCCATAATGTGAACAAAAACCTTGCAGGAACATGCCTGGGGGAAAAACTTATATCATGAATAAAGAACATATATTTAGGACCATTAAGTGTTTTTTGCATCGTAACATTAATTTCATGCCGATTAAGAACATTTCTGTCCTTAATTCTCTGATATGCACATAAATGCACACTCTATACATCTCTACTTTTCCTAGTGTAGGGTGTGTTGTAATACCTGACTGTGTTTGTGTTGTATTTTTAGGCACAGACGGCTTTACTCGCTCGCTTTCTCGCCGTTGGCAAGTTCTGCTACGAGACGAGAAACTTCGCCACAGCCATGCAGATTCTGTCGGGGCTGGAGAACGTGATCGTGAGGCAATTACCGGTAAGACACGAAACGGTGCTTAACCGCTTTCTCTGAATCCTCTCGAGGTGATAAATGATCGTGCGCTGAGAGAGTCATAACCTCATAAGCTCCACTGGAGTTGTTATTGTTGCTGTATCTTATCTGGAGGCTCCAGCAGCTGAAATGTTAATTGCATGTCCGTTAAACTGATTAAACACCAGCTCGGTTTAAAAGCATCACGGGGTTAGAATCGACATTCAGCATGTTGTGCAGAAACAAAGCAATGTTCGTTATATTTAGCGTGAAATTAAATTGCGTGATGAATGTTTCTCATAAGCCATGCTTATTGGGGTCTTCGTTGGTTTGACAGTATGTCTCTTGTGTTGTGGATGTGTTGAACGCAGGCGTGGAAGCAGCTCTCGCTGAAGGTGTGCGAGGCTCTGGAGGAGCTCAGGGCTGTTCAGGTCAGACAGAGAGACAGATATAACAAAACACACAGTCATCAGAGGCTACGGGGTTCATTTCATGCCACATGATGACAAAATGACTCCTAACTTTGATTTGGAAGACAAAACTATGCATTTATTATTTGAATAATTAATACTTAATTATGTTATTACATTGATTATTATAAAAAATATTATTTAAAATAGATATTATATGTAACGTTAATAATATTAAAAACAAAACTGCTTCACAGATATGCTTTATTTTAATTTGTTTTAATTTTTTAAGCTAATTCCTAATTGTTTCTTATGTTTTATATTAATAATAATAAAATATAATTTAAAATGATATATTATCTGTAATATGAAAAACAACACTGCCTCTCAGCTGTTTTAATTATTTTAATATATTTTTAAAAAAAATTTTAAACTAAGTCTTAAGTGTTTCTAATGTAGTTATATTAATAATAATAATACTAATAATAAATATTATAGTATATTACTATATTAATATCATTGCATTATATAATATTTATAACATTTATAATGTTAACAATTTCAAATAATTTCTTAATTGTTACTTTTATTATTATTATTATTAATAATAAGAAGAAATACTGTTAATATTAAAACCGTTTCACAGCTATTTATTTTATTTTTAACATTTAAATTATTAATTGCTTTGAACATATAATAATAATAGTGTTATTATGATTATTATTATATATCTATACCATTAATAATAATAATAAAATCAAAACTGCTTCACAGCTATTTGTTTTAATTACTTTAATTATTTAGTTTTAATTATTTCAAATTAACTCATAATTGTTACTTGTATCATCATCATCATATATTAATAACAAAACTGCCTCACAGCTGTTTTTTATTTCTCACATAATCTCCGGACAGTAACATCACCCAAACACTTTTGACTGTGTCCTAAAATATTAAATAACTTGATGAATTTTAATTCAGAAATTAAAAAACATGATTTTCACACACACAGTGACTTTATACACCTCTATAGTGATTTGTATGTTTAATGTTCTTTGAACAATTAAATACGTTCATGTATTTGTCAGATGCTTTTATCCAAAGCAACTTGCATTGCATTAAAGCTTTACATGTTATCAGTTCATGCATGCTCTAAGAATCGAACCCATGACACTAGTGTTGCGAGCACATGCTCTACTGTTTGAGCGTCAGTAATTGGTCTCATGGAAGAGAGAAGAGTGAGGCTTTAAGGTCTGTTGATGGTCTTGTTTCAGGTGTTTCTGAAGAGTGATAGTCTGTGTCTGATGGAGGGAGAGAAGGGCAGACGGCTGCCGACTCTCCCAGACGCTCACATCTTGGCCATGCACGTCCAGCAGCTGGAGATCGGAGCGTTTACCATGACCAGCGGAGCGTACAAGTGGCCCAAACTGAGGTCTCGTGAACGCACTTACATTTACATTCATGCATTAACCGACGCTTCTATCCAAACTGAGGGACAGGAACTCGATGCAACATCTTTAAAGGAATAATTCACCCAAATAATGAAAATGTGCTCACTCTCAGGCCATCCATGATCAGGATGAGTTTGTTTCTTCATCAGGTTTGGAGGAATGTAGCACTGCATCAGTGTCTCAGCAATGGATGCTCTGCAGTGAATGGGTGCCGTCAGAATGAGAGTCCAAACAGCTGATAAAAACATCACAATAATCCACAGCACTCCAGTCCATCAGTTAACATCTGGAGAAGACAAAAGCTGAAACTAATCCAGCAGTAAAACGTTTTTAACTAAATCCATAATCCATAATAACGCTTCCTCCAGTGAAAAAGTGCATCTGCTGTTGTCTCTCACATCAGAATCCAGCCACATATTAGTTTAGAGCTGTTTAAACGCTGCTTGATCTGTGCAGATTTCTCTCCTGATTCACACCAGAACACTTTTTCACTGGAGGAAGCGTTATTATGGATTATGGACTCAGATTTTAGTTAAAAACATCTTAATGCTGGATGTGTTTCAGCTTTTGTCTTCTCCAGATGTTAACTGATGGACTGGAGTGCTGTGGATTATTGTGATGTTTTTATCAGCTGTTTGGACTCTCATTCTGACGGCACCCATTCACTGCAGAGCATCCATTGCTGAGACACTGATGCAGTGCTACATTTCTCCAAACCTGATGAAGAAACAAACTCATCCTGATCTTGGATGGCTTTATTTTCAGGTGAACTATTCATTAAAGCCTTTACATTACTATAGTATCTACCCAACTTGTGCTCGCGCTCACGTACACTGCAGAACAGACATCTGCGGAGCTCAGAGGTCACGGACAGTCAGATGTGGCGGTAATGACACAGCTTGTGTGTGTGTGTGTGTCTGTGTGTGTGTGTGTATGGTGTGTGATTGGAGATGTTTGGGGTCTGTGCCAGGAGCCGCAGGGCTGTTTTTGTAGGCAGGTTTTGGAGGTGGACACTCAGCTGGTTGTTGTACATCTGAAGCTCACAGCACACAGAATCAGGTCAATCACACACACATTTAGATACGTTTCATGTTTATGATTCAATTTGGATTTCTGGAATTAAACTGTTGTTTTATATTTGTGATTGAGTTGATGATTCATAGATGTTGCATTTATGAGTTTTATGATTCAGTGCAGCTGCTAGTATTGGTTACAAATAAAGACAATAGAAGCAATCAAAACCAACAAAAGAGCAATAATATGTGCTATACCAAGTCTCAGTTAGCCTAACACAGTACACGTAGCAAGTTTTTTTTAATAATAATAATTATTATTATTATTATTACTAAATAAAAATCCTAAAATCCAAAAATAAAAAATAAATAAAAATATCACTATTGTAATATTTCAGTGTAAAAACATCAGATATTTAAATATATATATATATAATGTATTAATAATTTTATGTATTAATAATTTTTATTTCACATTACAAGTGTAAACTAAACTAATATTTATGGGTGTCTTAATTTATTCATTTTAAAATGTTTAACCATTGTACTTTTATTTTGACAATAATAATAATAATTATTATTATTATTATTACTAAATAAAAATCCTAAAATCCAAAAATAAAAAATAAATAAAAATATCACTATTGTAATATTTCAGTGTAAAAACATCAGATATTTAAATATATATATATATAATGTATTAATAATTTTATGTATTAATAATTTTTATTTCACATTACAAGTGTAAACTAAACTAATATTTATGGGTGTCTTAATTTATTCATTTTAAAATGTTTAACCATTGTACTTTTATTTTGACAATAATAATAATAATTATTATTATTATTATTATCATTATTATTATTAAAGAAAGCTGTTACGTTTATTTGTATAGCACTTTTCATGACTTTTTTCATGATTATTTTAAAGCAGAATCATGAAATGTTTTACAAACATAAACACTATAAATGTGTTTTAGTTCTTCTCAAATATATTGTTTTAGATATAATAATTGTCATTATTATTACTACTATTAAATAAAACTATTAAACAAAATAAGAAATAATGCTACTGTATTTCACCGTATTTAAGAAAACTAATAATAATTTTATTTTATAGTACAGCTGTAAAATTACAATACTAATATTCATGGCTGTCTTATTTTCTCCATTTTCAAATGTTTAACTCACTTTTATTTTGACTGTAATAACAATAATGTAAAAAATTATAATCGTTGTTTTTAATTATTTAAAATATTTATTTATTAAAGAAAACTTTTACCAACATCATAAACACTATGATCTTGTATTTTAATTATTCTAAAATATAATTATTAAAATATAATAATAATAATTATTATTAATATTACTTAATAAAACTATTAAACAAAATAAGAATCATTACAAGTGTATTATTTCACTGTATTTAAGAAAAACAATAATTTAATTTTATAGTACAACTGTAATATTACAATAGCTGTCATAATTTCTTCATTTTCAAATGATAAAGAGCCGGTTTATGAGTGATTCTCATTACAAGCGACCCAAACTTGGAAACAGAGACGATTATTTTGATTAATTGTGCAGCCCTATAAACAGCACACACATTTTCTGCAGAATGTACAAATGCTGTTCTTTCATTATTTGAATCTAAAACCAAACTCACGCTTCGAGTGTCTTTTCTCTTGTCTCCTCTCAGGAACATTGCGCGTGTGGTCAGTCAGGTCCACGCCTTTCAGGAGCGTCTCTATTCCTACCCTCCCGACCTTGAGCTGCAGTCGTACCTGCGTGGGAGAATCGCACGCTTCGGCAGGTGTGACATCCCGCTCCTCGCCTCCGACAACCACATCAACTTCAGCCAGACTCCCGCTGCTCGCCGGATCCACGACACGCTGCGCCGCGTCAAAGCGTCTTTCCAGTGACCGGCACAGATGTGCAAAGAGCCAGAACTACGGTGACCAAGAGAGCTCAGTGCGCTGCAACTTAAGAAAAAACATGCAAATGGAAAAAAACACCTGCAAATTAAGAAATCATCTTCGTCTCTTTGACAGCACATGTGCTGTACACAACACAACCAAAAACAGAAACGCACTGCAAATACTCGCAACACAAACAAATCCAAACACGCTGCAAAAACAGAAACACACTGCAAATACTCGCAACACAAACAAATCCAAACACGCTGCAAAAACAGAAACACACTGCAAATACTCGCAACACAAACAAATCCAAACACGCTGCAAAAACAGAAACACTGCAAATACTCACAACACAAACAAATACAAACACGCTGCAAAAACAGAAACACTGCAAATACTCACAATACAAACAAATACAAACACTCTGCAAGTAGCACAGACCACAAAGGGGTCCCCAGCAATGCTTATGAAAATGAACCATGGTTTTATTATAGTAAAAGTAGTTACCATGCATTGATTACCATTTGTATAAGCACAGTTGTACAAATACCATGGTTAGTTTGGTATGGTTAATTTACCATGGTTTAACTATAGTAACCATTTTTTATTTTCTTTATTTTTATTTAATAATAAAAATATATATTTATCATATATAGGCTATTTATTTATTTATTTTTATAGTAAAACCATGGTTAAAGTATCCAGTTTACATTTCACAGTTACAGTAATCGTGTAGTATTTTGTCAGATTATTTAGGCTGATAATAACAACCAAAAAAATAAAATAAAAAAAGCTAAGGAATTATATGATCAGGATGTTAAAATAAACAAAAAACTCACCTTTTAGAGTAGACATTGATAAGCATATCCCAGCCATGTTCGTCACTTGTTGCGGTTCCCTTAAACATTTCTGATGTGGTCTGTGCCTATTTGCAGCACGTTTTGGTTGTGTTGTGTGTACTTGCAGCACATGTGCTGTCAAACAGATGAAGATGTTTTCTTAATTTGCAGCTGATTTTTCTATTTGCATGTGTTTTTTCATTTGCAGCACTTTGCGCTCTCTGGGCCACTGTATATAACTCCTTCAGAGACTCCAGACGTCTCCATCTGAGCGCTGAGGAGAGATGTTCACAGTCTCTGATAAAGAATTAGGGGTCTGTGCCAGAAAACGTGTTCGTTTTCCTGTAAATACTGTGAAAGCACAAGACGTGGGAGTTTTCATTGGTGATTTTCCTCATTTTAGGATGTGGAGGTGTTTTCTCATCTTTAATCTTAAGTGTGGTGAGCTTCTTCAAGCAGCGTTAGCCAGTTTCGGTTTGATGGATGACTTTCTTCCAAGAACAAAGACTTTTATGTGTGTTTAAGTTTTTGACAGCTACACAGCCAAATAATGCAGTCTGTAAATGTATAGATTTATTAATAATTATTGAGAAAATAATTAATTATATTAATGCATTTTAGATTAGATTCAACTGTTTAAGATCGAAAAGCTTGAAATAATGCATTATTAACTCCTCCAGATAATAGAGAAAATATACTTTTAATAATAGAGTAAATGCGGTAGACTATATTTCTACACCGAATCTTAAATAATTGACATACTGTACTTTTGCATACATTTAAATATTGAACTTGTTGCATTTTGTGGTGCCCGTTAAATTTTGACACTTTTATTTAACTGTTTTAAAGTTCAGCTACGCATATTTTGCTTTAGAATTAAATTAAACTCACTGGTCACACTGTAGAAACTGAAAATGTTCTCATCTCAGATGCATTGTCAATAAGATTCTTCTCAACTTAAAGGGATAGTTCACCCAAAAACAAGTTGTTCCAAGCCTGTGAGATTGTTTCTTGTGTTGAACACAAAAGAAGATATCTTGAAGAATGTTGGTAACCAAACAGCTGCTGGTCCCCATTGATTCCCATAGTATGGAAAACTCTATGAAAGTCAGTGGAGACCAGAAAGTGTTTGTTTACCCAACATTCTTCAAGATATCTTCTTTTGTGTTCAACAATAGAAAGAGATTCCGGTTTGGTTTTCAGGTTGCAGTTTCAGACTTGAATAGAACCAATTAATTTACATGTTTTACACTGCAGGATTACGAACGTATTAAGTTATATAGGTGTTAATAGCCCATTAATCAGGTTGAGAGCTAATAAATTGCATCGTATTGAATGAAAACTTCTCATTTTGATGCAGTGTTTTTCAAGAATGCAGAATACATTTCCAGACATTCACCATCTTCACAGGTGATGGACTAACCACCATCATTTTATGACATTTTATGTTTCAGCCTTTGAATCTGAAGGCTCCTCAGCTTCTGTGACGATAGTAAAGCCTCCACAAGACAGCATCTCAGAGAAAGCAGTAGTTCATCTGGGTATTGTTCAGTTACTACACACACTTAAAAGTTTGGAATAATTAATTTATTGGATTTTTTAAAAATGTTTTGACGAGTCTCTTCTGCTCGCCAAAGCTGCATTTATTTGATCAAACATACAGTAAATAAAAGTATATTATTACAGTTTAAAATAACTGTTTTGTGTGAATATCTATGTGAATATCTGTTCAAATGTAATGTATTTCTGTGATCAAAGCTGAACTGATATTTTCAGGATTCACAGATGAACAGCATTTATTTGAAATATATTTTTTTTGTTAAATTATAAATGTCTTTACTGTCACTTTTGATCAATTTAAAGCGTCCCTGATGAATAACTTTTTTTTTTTTTTGAATTTTTTACGCAAGTCTTATACCCCAAACTTTTGAATGATAATGTATCAAGGTTTCCACAAAAATATTGAGCAGCACGACTGTTTTCAACATTGATATTAATCAGAAATGTTTCTCGAGCAGCATATTATACTGATTTCTGAAGATCATGTGACACTGAAGACTGCAGTAATGATGCTGAAAATACAGCTGCGCATCACAGAAATAAATTACAGTTTAATAGATATTCACATAGAAAATGGCTATTTAAATTGTAATAATATTTCACAATTTTACTGTATTTTTTATCAATTAAATGCAGCCTCGGTGAGCAGAATTACTTTGTCAAAAACATAAAAAAATACTTTTGTCCTGTAGTGTACTGGACGTTCATATAACTGTGCAAAAACAATGTATGCATCATTAAACAGCAAACAAAATATCTGTGCTTCTGACATGTCAGTAACTGGATATGCACTTCTTCTTTTTTTATACAACAAAAAGTATCGCACTCATAACCGTTCTTATTGTATTCACTAACACAGCAGCATGGTGATTTTTGCTTTAAAAGTTTAATTTAAAACCATCAGTGTGTTCGCTGATCTGATCTGATGACTGTCAATTAAATAAGATGAATTTGCATTAAGATCCACACACTGCTCGCTGTTCTTGGATGCTATCATATCATACCACATCCGATTGAAATGATTTAAATGCGTTTGTTTCGGAGTCTCGCGCGGAGGAGAGGAAGCGCAGCGGATAAAGGCTTTAATTGCGACTCAAAGAGCTCGAGCTCCTGCACTGTATAGATCACTGATAAAGGAAGCAGTCAACATGCTGTTATCATCATTGTCCAGCTAAACGATCCTTTCCAAGGCTCTGTCTCTCATCCACAGGCATTCAAACACAGTCTGATAACACCAAAGCCCTGATTACTGCAGACCTCTGTGCCAAAGCCGCCTGACGTGCCATTATTTCAGATTTATCAGTATTATTATTGAATCACGGGCTTTGTTTCATCACGAAACCTCAAATAAACACGCAATTACATAAAGACTTCTGAATTGAGTCGTTATATTTCCCTCCAACACCTTTTGGCATGTAATATTTTGTATTTATTAAAGAATTGCCAAACCATCTCATGCACTTAATTTAGTTTTTAAGTGAAGACTAGCTATTTAAACGTATTGATCTCTAGATTCAGCTTTACTGGTTTGGTTAAATTCAGCTTTACAATGTTTTAGCGTGAGTGACATTAAATATGCATAACCCTACATGCATATTTGTGCATATGCAGAATTACAGTTTTATATAAAGCAAATCAATGCATGTAAGCTTCGCACAGGTTTGGGTTGGTGCAGTGAGATGTTTTCACGGTCTCTAGTAGTTGTGTTGAATCAGTGGATCAGGCTTGAACGTGTCCGGGTGTGAATTAGCATTTGAACTGCTGGTCAATCAGAGTTAATTGTGTTGCTACTGTAATCCCTTTGATCGTGATATTTGCCGACCGCGCCAAACGCTGCTGTGATGGACGGTGGCGCCAGAGACTCCACAGGCAGCAGCATGTGTTAATACACCACCATTTCAACTACACTCGAATCACCTTAGTGTGTGTGTGTGTGTGTGTGTGTGTGAAGAGACTGTCTGCAGTACAGCAAAACAGACTTGTTAAAAAAAAATCATGAGCAAGGGACAACAAATAAATATATTTTTTTCTGATCGCTGGATTGATCATTTAATTTAAGAATAAGCCTGAAAACCAAAAGAAAAAAAAAGAGGCTGATATATAATCAAAGTTAGTCAAATTTGGGAGCAGATATGTTTGTGCGTTGTAGAAAAAAATTGTTTTTATAAGGTTCTGACCGTGTAACTTTCTAAAAGTAACGTTGTTTTATCATCATTTGTTTAATGAAGTATTTATATATTTTTTAAATAAATTAAAATGTAAATACAAAAGTCTGAAGGTAAAATAAGTCAAATACAAGGATTTATTAGCGGGATATGGTAAAAATTGGTTAAATTAAAACATTTTAAAAGTTTTACTAAAGTTGTGTTGACACAATTTCTGTTTTCTATGTTAATATATTGTACGATTTTCAGCATCATTACTCCAGTGTCACATGATCTTCAGAAATCATTTTAATATTTGCTGCTCAAGAAACATTTGTGATTATTATCAATGTTGAAAACAGTCGTGCTGCACAATATTTTTGTGGAAACCGTGATATATACGCAATCGACGCATATTTCGCATGATATATAGGAGTCAAATACAATGATTTAT